TCAGGCAGTTTACTACTTCCACCAAAAGACCTCATGTTTTTCCACTCCTGATCGGGAAATTACATTTGTCGTACAGTAAAGTGATGAGAAATTAAAATATGCATATGTACTTGAGTGGGCTTGCCTCTCCAGAGATCAAACTTGTTAAATTTTTCACTTGGCTCCACCTGCTGAGTTTAGATTCAGGCCCATACTGCGGAACATTCCAGACAAACCAGCAGTGGTGAAAGGTGACAAAGTATGAAAGTAAAAGTAAAAATACAATACTTTTACCTCACTACATTTGACAGCATGTATCTGTACTTTCTACTCCACTACATTTAAAAAGTACTTTTCTTCATAGTGTGAGACATGTTGAAAAAGCTGAAACTTATTTTTAGCACATTTAATTTGAGTAACGCCCCAACTTTGAGCAAACCAAACAAACAAAAATTAAGAAATCAGCTGAATCACTTAAAATCTGTTAAATTCTTTATCAAAATCTTTACTTTTGATGCTTTAACTGTAAAAAAAAGAAGAAAAAAAAAAAGAAAAAAATGCAAAATGCTTTTACTTTTCACTCTTAAAGTACATATTTAAAGAGGTACTTCAATAGTTTTAATTATTCATGTGAGACTTTTACTTTTACTTGAGGAATCTTTTGCTCTTGTTTCTGTACTTTTACTTAAATAACAAAATAGAGTACTTCATCCAGTAACCATTCTCCAGCTCCTTGTTTAGAAGTACCTAGAGTTGAGTTTAGGTTCAGGCCCATACTGCGGAACACTCCAGACTAACCAGCAGTACTGGAAGGTAAACAAAGTAAAAAAGTAAAAGTACAATACTTTTAACTCACTACATTTGACAGCATGTATCTGTACTTTCTACTCCAGTACATTTTAGATCTGGACTGAAAAGTAAAAAGTACTTTTCTTTATGATTTGAGATTCGCTGAAATGGCAGAGACTTATTTTTTAGTACATTTAATTTGAGTAACGTCCCAACTTTGAGCAAACCACAAACACACAAAAACACAAAAAAACTGCTAGAAAAAATAAGAAATCAGTTGAATTACTTAAAATCAGCTAAATTCTTTATCAAAATCACTACATTTGATGTTTTAACTCTAAAAAAAAAAAAAAAAAAAAAAGAAAAAGAAAAAATCTCTGCACTTTTCACTCTTAAAGTTCATTTTTCAACATGTGCTTCAGTAAGTCAATTTCTTCATGTGATACTTTTACTTTCACTTAAGGAATCTTTTGCCCCTGTAGCTGTACTTTTACTTAAGTAACAAAGTAGAGTACTTCATACAGTAACCATTCTCCAGCTCCTTAGTTAGAAGTAAGTAGAGCTGAAGAATGAGGATAGTAAATTAGGACCTCAATACAAAAAGGCCCTGTTTGCGTTACTTCAAAGTGCATTTTTTAAAATTATAATATATTTCATGTCTCCCAAATGTATCAAAAATGTAGAAAATATTAAAAAATAAATGAGCGGGTGTGTCCAAACTTGACGGGTAGTGTATATTGGTGTGCACATAAGCTCATTCAACTTACATAAGGATTACAGCATTACCCATCAATTACCATTAAGAGAGTTTATTTCAGGACTTTTTGTGATCTTGAAGTGGCTTGGCAGTGATAAAGGAGGCGGATTTCTCTGTTTTCCTCCTGTTGAAGTGTGTGAGTTTGACAGAGGTGTGGAGGGGCAGACTGGAGGAGGAGGAGAGAGAGGAAGGTGTGGAGGCTATCACTGTCACAGGGGCCTTTCCGCTCGCTGCAGCCTGCCTGTCTAACTCTGCCCCGTCAACAGGATACCCCCTCTCCCCGTGCACGCCAGGAATGTCTAAGTACCTATCCAATAAATTAAAATTAGGACAGTTGCTATAGCGATTAACAATGTACAGTAATGCAAAATGTCATATGTTTTGAATGGGACAAAAACGAAATGTATTATAATTGTTATACATTATATTTAAAGGAACACTATGTAACTTTTTGGTTGGGGGACAGTCACCTGCTTGATTTATGGATGATATGTCATTGCTCTGACTGGAATGTTCCACAGTATGACATTAAACGCTCTACCTTACATTTATTAAATTATAGGTGGTTTTAAAGCATTAAAATACCTTGGCATTCTGACTGTAAATCTAACGTGAAACTTGGTCTGGTTTGGTCTCCATGACGATAGAAAGGTTTAATACCATACTGTGAAACATTTCAGACAAAGCAATAACATCTCCATGGAGACAAGCGTTTGAATAAAAGTAAATAAAAGTGATTGACATTGCATCTTTCATTCACTCCACACTCAGTGGTGACAAGCTATTCTAGCCACAGCTGTCCTGGGGCAGACTGACAGGTGTGAGGCAGCCAATCTGTGCCATCAGCCCCTCTGACCAACACATACACAGAACACATTCATACAACATAATCTAAGTGAATTATCATGCCTAAAACATGAAAACAGGTGTACAAAACCAATGACAGTTTGTAGATCACCATCTATACATTTGTGAATATTAATGAGGCAAAAGTACTGTTCTTCCATAAATATTCAATCTGTAAAACTTTACAATCAAATCAAACACTAAGTTAAGTCAATGAGCAAAAGTAGCCATAAGCTAAAGCTTATTGTGCCCTCCAACTACAGCATGTTAATGGACATTCGTCTACAAAATTAATACAACATGTTACTGGTCATTTTACTTCATCATATTGAAAGAAAAAGCATTTTTTTTCTAATTATCATACATTTTCTTTACTATTGTTATTCTTTCACATACATTCCTTTTACTGCTAAATTATTCCTTGATTGTGGGAAAGATGGACTGGCGTGGGTGGTGTTGTGTTTTAGTTGTTCCTCGAGTGATACAGAAAAGAGGGAGCCACTGTCTGTGTGAATGTTCATGTATGTTAGCACGTATGTACTTGTTTTAATGTCATGTTTTCAAAGTGGCTCAGTTTGTGTTAAAAGCCTGGTATCTCCTGTCGAGTATACTTTATGTTTGATGTGTGATCTGTCTTCTTATTATTTTAAGTGTCTTCTAAATGTCATAAACTCGATGGTGCATGACACTAAATAAGTAAAATAAACTAAAACTAAAAAACTACTATTCTCTTAAATGCAAAACAAAAAATCTTCAACTTTTCACTTTGTCATTGCTGCAATAGTTCACCTTTTTCTGTAATTTTCCCATGTCAAATCCTGCACAGAGCAATCAAAAAGAAATCTGATTACTCCCGTCAGATTTAACTGTTCACATTTCGGTAATCTCATAACTGCAGAAATCAGATTATGATCAGATTTGAGCATGAGTGGACAGAACAGACCGTCAGAGGCTGGATCGATTACGCCCCCTTCTGGCAGTGCCTCCGTAGTACACCGCAGCCCTGGCTCTGTCTCCCCTGACCCCGTGGCTGTAAAAGGTCACCTTCACTGGCCTCCACGTGTTGCGTAAGTCGTATCTATAAACAGATTTGACACGGGCCTTACGTGGGCGAGGTGTATGGTAAAGGCTGTATAAAGAAATAGCAGACACAGTACTTCAAATGTGGGACAAAAATATATTCTTCAACATTTTACCATAACTTTTTTTTTCTTTTCACTTTTTTTTTTAGTTTCAATGCCTCCATACTAAATATTGACACCTTTAGTATCAGCAAATCAACCAGTATCTTAACTTATGCAGTGTTTGCACAAATCTGGGTGACGTTCAATGTCCTTTGAAGAAATTGGATTATAATGTACTTACATATTACCAAGCACAAAATCATTGTGTCTGTAACATGATTTAATTTTAATTAGTCTAAGAGCCCCACGCAAACTATCCCCGTAGCCCATATACTACTGAGACTGTTTTAATGGCTGCAAATTAATCAATAACTTGTGTGGTATCAGCACATTTCACAGTGACCTTCAGATTACTTTGAAGCAATGAGATTATAATGTACTTACTGATATGATGTTAGAAATATAAGTAATCTTGGTATATAGGGCAAGCACTAGCAGTGGCAAAGTCCCTATAGACCTAATTCTAAATTTTAGCTTCAAATTTTAGCTATATCAAAACAGGCTACTTTTTGTTTTAGACTTTTCAGCTTGTAACTTTCTTTTCTCAAAATCATTTATTTTAGTCATTATATATTTTTTCAAATTTATTACAATACTACAATGATGTAAGGAGTTGTGCTGTGCTGGCAGTCAAACAAACTCTGTGACCTTACTGTAGTGAAGGCTATTTATTGACGTGGGCGTGGCCTGCGGAGACGTGCCTGCGTAGCATATAGCTACAGAACTATAATAAACATAAAAAATAAATAATATATATATATAAACTATAAAAAGCATAGAACTATAAAAAACATAAAATAAAATAAAAAAAAGTTTATATAAAAAAGTTTATTTTTAAATAGGATCCAGCCTGCGTAAAGAAGTGCAATGCCAACTCTAACCAGCAGGAGGGGTGAGAGTGCTGCAAACCGCAACCTCATAGCCTTCTTTTGGAAACACAGGAAGGATGTTTTATTTTTAATTTATGATTTTAATCAAACACGCTACGAATTATTTCATCATATCACAGTCACGTATAACTAGGCTACATAGTTAGGCCCATATTAAAAAGTGGTCTTCCTATAAAATTTGCCAAGTCAAATTTTTTTCACGTTGCCAATGTCAATTTAGTAAGTTCTTTTTCTTTTAATTTTGAAATGTGACAACTAAACCTTACTATTTTTAAGTTGGTATAAATAAGATATTGAAATTGAAGCCTTGAGTCTAACTACTGGAACATCTGTAATCTTGATCACTAAAAGCAAGCAAGAAGGACTGGTAAAGGGCTTTATTTAGCTATTAAACATGTAAATAGTAATGTTTAACCCGCGTTTTTCTTGTTTTTCCAAAAACAAAGGGCACCGAGCAATTATCGTGGCTAAAACAAACCCCTATCATTCATTACGCGCCAGTGAGATGGTGCTTGGACTTCCTGATACCGCTGCCAGTGCCCTTCAGACGAGAAGTGGAGAAAAACTTAGAACACAGCTCAAAATAAGAGGAACAAACTGAGCCAAAAGGTCTCAAATTCGTTTTTTAAATAGCAGAATTATTTGGCGTTTCTGTTTCTTTTTTTTTTTTTTTTTGGGGGGTGGGAGTGTCCAGACGCACGGTGCAGCAGACGTCCACGTTACGTCTCCATTGACAGATACGAGTCCTTTTATTGAGTGGGTCTACACACTACTGCAAGGACTACATTGGACTCTGGACTAAAGATTTCCACTCCCGCGAAGGCAGGGGATCGCTACAGCGCGTTTTTACTCGGATTTTTCAGGTAGGACACGCGAATTTTGCAAGATCGCTGTTGCTTTAAGTGTAATTAAAGAGTTTTCCAGTACTTTGCCATTGCACGCTGGTCATGTGTGTATCGTTGCGGCATGTCTCAGTCTCTGTGAGGAGGTTGGATACCATATGTTTGTCAAATATGTGGAATTTTCCGTCTTTCTTTCACTTATACGAACTTTTGGATCCATAAATGTCCATTAATAGAGCTGCAACTGGCGATTGTTTAAGCTGTTGATTATCAGCAATTGTTATTTTTTTTCCAATTAGTCGACTTTCTATTGCACATTGAGATTTTACGTGCATTTTTAAGGTTAAAAACGGTGATTGGGGCCCTCTGGATATGAGATTTTACAGATTTTTGTGACGATAGTGTAGGATTTATTGATGATAAGTTTATGATTTTATTGCCTATTGCAGTTTTGTTACATGGTTTTTGGTTTGGTTTAGAGTCTGTAATACACTTCATGATAAACGAGTATGATTAATCGTTACAGCCATTGCATTTGACTTCTGGCAATGGTATGTACAGTTATGGTGAAATGCTTGTCAGTGTTTTGGCACCACTTTCGTTTTGTTTTGGCTGTTTTGGCTGAGTAACCCCACCTAGAACCTCCAGGCTTCACACTTGGGTTTTTATAGCTGGCAGACAGATTAAAGACAGCGTAAACTGAACTAATAGACTTCACACATGTGGTACACTTCAAATGGGTCCGTGCCATGTGAAAATTTACAGAAAAAGGAGAAAGAACTTGCTTATGTAATAGACTAAAATAAGAAGTTATACTCAGCCACTTCACCATGTGAGTAATAGGGAAAAGTAAGGAATTTATTTATAGGCAACCCAACTGTTTCTTGAGTAAACTATTTTAAACCACCAATGGCAGGCTATACTTCTTCCACAACTACATCACAGACTACTACTACTACTACTACTACTACTACTACTACTACTACTACTACTACTACTACTTATGCTTAACACACACACAAAATGAATTGAACTTTCTAAAATCTCTCATTAATTTACTAAATAAGACTTTCTCTGCTTAAGTTGCTTTAAATATGTGACTTTTAGTTCAAACCCTCATGCCCCTGTCACCCCTCCTTCCTCTCTCTTTAAAGCGCCTGCCCATATGTCGCCTGCCTCTGCACCTGTCAGTGTTTTGGTTCAGGGCAGGACCAAAGGGAAGCACCTGGGCCCTGTTCTCACCCAAATCTGAGGACGTGTGAGGTCGTAATGAGGGGGGTCCTGTCCTTGTGGCCTCACAGCTGCAGTGTCAATACAGAATGCACTCTTGGTCACTATATAGGCATTATTATTATTGCTTTAGTGTCTGGCTTTTATTGTTATACGGATGCCCCATTGAAGCAACTACTTAAAATAGTCTGCGCTAATATGACAATTGTGACTACGGGTTAGGCTAGGGGTGCAAAAATATCAAAATATCGATATCTTAATGTGATGATACAGTATCGATATCGTGGGCTGCCGTATCGATATATCGCCAAGAGTATTTTTTTGGTATATTTTACTTTGCTATTTTGTTACAGCGCTACAGTTTTGTTGCTTGTTTAGAGAATTTATGTGACACATTTGACATTTTCACTGCTTTTATGATTAAAATGTTTGTTTTTCATATGAACCTGATGCACAAGAAGTGGTTTAACAAAGACTTTTAGTATCACAGCCATTATTTTTACTGAACTGTATTGAATCGATTTGAAATATATCATATCAAACCAAAAGTGCACTGTATCAAGTTATGAATCGTATTGTGGCGTATGTATTGAGGTATGTATCGTATCAGCAAGTTCTTAATGATATCCAGCCCTAATTGTGACATTTCTACAAATATTTGTGGAAAAAATATATTATGTTTTCTGGTTTTGGTTTTTGGGTCAATTCACGAAAGGTCCTGTATTACACAAAATCGACTCTCGTGAGCTTTAGGCCATGTTAGAATGTTACCTCCTCAAAAACATACCTGGAGTTGTGTTTTGTTTCATTCAGACATGTTTGAATAACCCTTTTTTGTTAGTCTATCTACATCTCCAAAGCTCAAAATGCTCTGTTCCACCTTGGGATGTCATGAAGTGACTTTTCGAGTTAACTGCTATGTTTTATATTTTGTAGATATTGGCAATTCCAGGACTTATCCAAATTGATTCTGGTGAAGGTGTATTGAGTTTAAAAAACACAGTGGAGCACATGACATCACAAAGTGGAACAAAGTTTTCCATTTGAGAGAAGAACTCTGGCTTAAATATGCAGTTGAACATGTGAATGAAACAAAACACTACTTCAGGTATTTTTGCAATGAGAAAACAACATTATAACATAGATCAGAAAATGGTTAAATATGGGCTCTTGAAAATAAAAATGTACATAAAATATTCCACAAAAATTGTACTGTGATCATAAATGTGCACTGCTATTTGTTGCTTTATCTGCAATGTTCCACAATATGGCTTTATTAAATGCAAACAAATGCAAGATAGATAAGTTTAATGTTATAGCACTTGTGGAATATTCCAGGGAAAGCAATACGATTGCCACGGAGACAGACACGCAGCATATTTACCTAGCATACCTTTTGAGTGAATGAATCCTTACGTAATTTGTTTGGCAATGGTTGAATGAAACAAAATGTACCTGAATCTTATTTGTGTGCCTTGTATTGCGTGTGTGGTTCCACCCCCTTCGTTTAGATGATGCACTATCCTGCCGTCACTTGTTCAATGTTTACTCATCATTAGTGTGGACGTACTGTGTGTGCATGCACCTCTACATTCTTTTCCCAGAGAGATTTCTTAATAAATCTCGTCGAGTTTGGCACGTTTCACACGCATTCACATTTCATAACAACTTTGCGTCTTGTGTTGTTATATGCGCTATGTGAAAACACAACTAGGTAGAGCTTGGAGGGGCGTGGCATCGGAGTTAAATTGTGCTGGAAAACTGACCCCTCTCAAGGTCACACAAAGATCATGACCTCAGTGTGGTTTAAGGGCCTATATTACACTGTTTTTTGGTCTATGTCATAATTGTTTCCTCATCAAAAACATACCTAAAGTTGTGTTTTGCTTTATTTACACATGTTTAACACACAAACCCGGCATATTTAGGCCGAGTTCTTCTCTCAAACTGAAAACACTCTGCTCCACCTTGTGATGTCATGTGGTAATACAGGAAGTGCTCTACATAGACCTTCACTAGAATCATTTGGATCATTTCAGCCCTGAGATTTGCGAATCTCTACGGAACTAAAGGTAAAATAAACTACTAAAATTACCACTACATGACATCACAATGTGGAACATAGCATTTTGAGATGAGGAGACGTAGACAGACTAATAATAAAACATTACTCAAACTAGGGATGGGCATGATTAGTTGATTAAGCGATAATTGATCATTAAGAATTTCGTCGATTTACTGAACTGAACTGAATGTAGGTTGCTGTGCGTAGCGGCTATATTCCACTGAGTCGTGTCTTTTAGTTCGACAGAAGTTGACGCACAAGAGCTGTTTTTCTTGCTTAGTTTATGCAAATTAGCCATGTGGTTTTAAGTTTAGTTTCTGTGAGACTTGTGCAAAACTGCATTAAACATATAATGTCAGTGTTATGGTTTAAAGTTGAGTTTATTTATGCAGATTAGTAGTGCAGTTAGTAATAATAATGATGATAATTTGAATATAAAAACGCTGATGATTAATTGAAAATTTAATCGAATGCCCATCCCTAACTCAAACGTGTGAATGAAACAAAACACAACTCCAGGTCTTTTTAGTCAAATACAGGATCTTTAAAAATCTTTTCATTCATACAGTTCACTCGATTCTACTCTTTATCCATATGTCTAAATATTGTAACTAGCATAATTTATTCAACTTCATTCAGTTTCAGTATATTTCAATGAAAGTACATTGTTTGTGGACATATTTTAACTAATAACTTGGATAGAAATAGATCAGATATCAGTGTTTCTCAGTCATAAGTAATAATGATAATTGTAGTACTGATTACAATATTGAAGTAACATTTGGTATAGTGGTGTTTGTGGTGTTATTGCTGTAGTGAAACCATCATTGGTATTAATTCCTTAAAAACCCATGTTGCGTAAGTTCACTTTTGCTATAAACATCCATTTTCACTTTTATCTTGATGTTACATTAGTCAGTTACGATCTGCACTTATCCTCAGTTACACCCTGCAACCTAAACTTTGACTCGAGTCCAACTTGGCACAGCACCCCCTCTCGTCACTGCTGTCGTTACATACGTTCAGAATGCGTTTTTCTCTTGGGAGCTGTGTATCTTTTAGTTGTACTTCCTCCATCGGGAACAGTTTTTATAAAGCATGTTAAAAAGGCCCCACGGTGCACTTCTTAAGGGCAGGGCTGCTGATATTTCTGTTTGCGGTTGCATGTGCCATGTGGTGAGTTGAAGGTTAGAATTAGGTTTTAGTCCAAATGTGAGCCTGTATTTCTCCTGAAGGCATTTTTACTGTCCCTTTGCTTGGTGATAGTGTAAGCCACACATGTACTTACAGGTCCCGTATTACGCAAAATGGACTCTCGTGAGGTTAAAGCCATGTTAGAATGCTGTCGGGTTTTGTTTCATTCACCAATATCACATCCTTGTATCCTTGTAGTTATTGCTTTGCCTAAAATGATCCACAGTATTGCATTCAACTACTGATTGCATTTATTCGATTACAGGGGATTTTATTGTCTGGAAAAGCATGCATTTTTATTGGTGGCAGCATCACTTATCCACAGATCTGACCTGTAACTTGAAAGGTGTAACAATAACCGAAATATTGTGATATCGTATCGTCTATAGTTCTCACAATAATATCACAATATATTGAATCACCAGCCTCTTTGCTTAAATGAAGAGTTTAGACCATGATCCTTTGCTCCATTTCAGTGTAGACTACAAGAAGAAATAACAGTTCTAAGCACTTTTAAGTCTTAGTTCTTTGG